ACTTGTAAACTCCCAGCTAATTCACAATAAAACATGAAAAAACAAAACAAAAATCCTGCTGCCTTCAAGTCCATTGCAACTCCTGGTGTCTCTGTGTGCTTTTTGTAGAACAGTGCTGTAGTGGTTAGGAGTGGGACCACTAACCACAAGGTCAGCAGTTCAAAGCCACCAGCTCTGCAAAGAGCTGGGGCCTTCTACTCCTGTAAAGAGTTATAGTCTCCAAACTCACCCGAGCAGTTCTACTGTGCCCTGTCGTTGGCATCAACTGGATGGCAGTGAGTTAGTTTTTTGAGTGCTCCATAGGGACCCAATACTATGACCCTTAGAAACAGGTCAGCAGGCCTTTCTTCTGAAGTGCCTAAAGGTGATCTGGAACCTCCAACCTTTTGGTTCCAGCTGACAGCTATGGTTCTTTCACCCAGGGCTGCTTATCTTGTCATTGGTACCCATTCAGATGAGTAACCCAAACTTTTCTCCTATTGGTGAGGCAGCTCTCCAGTGACATTTTGTCTGTGGAATGACTGTGCCCTCCATGGGCACAGGCTGTGAATATGGCCCTCATTGTCCCGGTGGCTGGGGTGGGACATCCTGACCTCCCAGGAAAAGTCAACCCAGACCCAAACAAGTTGCCTTGGATAAGCAGCCCCGGGTAAAAAAAATGAAAGCTCTCAGCTGGTAACAACTTCAGACTGGACGTTAATTCCAACGATGGCACCTCCATCAGAAAAGCTGAAGAAACGTCCGGGCTCAGCTTCTCCTTCCCAGATCTTGTCTGTGTCTGCCCCTCATACACACGATTGTACTTTCTGCTCGTTAGCCAGAGATAGTGCCTAGTATCTGAGACTGCACTACCCAGAACTCCCCTTTTCCCACCTAAACGTTATTTGGGTTACAAAAGTGATCCTACCATGTGAATTCTTTCAGCATTGGAAAGCAAGAACCGGGGGACAGTATCCCAGTAACCTAACACAGCTACAGTGATTTACAACAACTTCTATGTGAGACCACCAGGTCCAAGGGGGTCACCATGGTCATGCTTTTGTTTCATCTGTGTAGCTGGAAGAATTTCGGTTCTCTCGCAATCATGGAGTTGTCTGGAAGATGCGTGCACCTGGCCCCAGCTCCTAGCAACCAGGATCTCTCTGTGTCCCGTGGTAGACTTGGATGGCAGGGCACAGTAGCTGCGGTACTTCATAAGAGCGCCCCAGTCAGAGGAAGCTGATTACTACCCAGCCTGAATGAGGGAGTTGAACTCATCGGATCCCCAGGAAGCTTCTTGCACAACTGACTCCAAATAACTTCACCCAAACCACTTCTCCTCGGGAACACATGCTCCCCATCTCTCCACAGCCTGGCGTTTCTCCCAAGGAGGGTAGGAGGCAACAAGCACTGGACCCAGGTCAACCAGACCCAAGGGCCCCTGGTGGCCCAACCCTTTGACTCTGTCAGAAGATACTTGATGGTGAAGAGCAATAGAAGGCTGGAAGTGACCTCAGAGAACTCCGAGGTTGTAGAAAGGGCTGGGAGGCGAGTAGTACACACAGGAGGATCTTGGCTTCCTAAGAGCTTTGGGAAGCACAGGAAAACCAGAGGGAGACTGGGGCCAGAGGATAGCAGGAGTGGCTCCTCAGCGTCTCGGTGGGGTCCCGAAGGCCTTAAAATGGGCCTTTCTAGAAGACGGGGCGAAGGAATGGCCGAGAACCCTCCCAGGTCTTCCCGAGCTCAGGGAAACTTGGGTGGAGGCAAATGATGCTGAGGGGCCTCTTCATTCCTCTTCTTCCTCCTAGAGCCCCTCCACCCTCCCGTAGTCCTGCTCAGCAACCACTTTCTATACCCGCCTCCCCATCTGCCTCCCCTGAAAACCCTTCTTCCTCCTCCAGTCCCCCTAAAGTCCTCCCTTACCCCAACACGCCCACTCCCGGGCCCCAACAAGGCTCCTGCACTCCCCCACCCTTGCTTCCCAGAATCCTGCCCTGCCATCTTCCCAGTCATCCCAACAGCCTCCCAGATCCTCCCCCCACCGCTTCCCACATGCAAATCCTCCCTCCTGCCTCCTTGGACCCCTAGATCCTACTAGACACCACCTCGCAGACCTTCCTGACAGCCTGG